AACCTCATTCGGTGGTTTTGTAGTTACTGACAGTGCTCCAAACCTTGTTTGTAGGAAGAGAAAGCCATTGACAGAGGTATACTGCCTCTGCTTCAACGTGCCACCTTAGTTCAAACTTTCGGGCAGAGAAATCACGTCTGCTTAAAGGATGGTTCTGTCATAATTCCCCCTTACGCCCCTCCTCAGAAGATGCAAGCCCATCTCATTCCTCCCACCACCCCTCGATCCATATTTGTTTACTTCCGAGGTTTGTTTTACGATGTTGGTAACGATCCTGAAGGTGGTTACTACGCAAGGTTCGTCTTCTTTACTCCATTCTTGTCCATTTCATATAAATATCAGATTTATGGTTTAAGAACCTCATTTTTCAATTAATAATTCCTAAAAGTAAGGAACAATTTTCATCCGATTGAACACTTTCTTTCTTCATTTTTAAGGGACAATCAGTAGAACTTCCTAGAGCTTTAGAGTGTGTTTGTTTAGAAAATAATTCAATTCATACTCAAAATCTAACTCAACTTTATTCCAACTCCACTATCCTCAATATTATCAATATAATTAAATAATAACCATCAATGATTCTTAATTCACTACTCATCCACTCACATAATTTTAACTAACGATCACTTCACATCATCTCTTTCCTATTTTTACATAAAATCAACTTTAAATATTCTATTTCAGATAATATTTTAATATAAACTCAAAATCCCACTAACAACTAACCACACCACCTTTTTCAAAATTAACTCTGGTTTAAAAAAAAAACTCAAGAAAAAGATCGGAATTTGGCCACCCAATCTTAAAGAATAAGAAATAAAAAGATCTCAACTCCAAAACCCCTTTAATTATTTTTTAATAAATTAATAATTTCAATTTCAATTTCAGAGGGGCTCGAGCGTCAGTGTGGGAGAACTTCAAGAACAACCCTTTATTCGACATCTCGACCGAGCACCCGACCACATATTACGAGGACATGCAGCGTGCCGTTTTCTGCCTTTGCCCTCTCGGGTGGGCCCCGTGGAGCCCGAGGCTAGTTGAAGCCGTTGTCTTTGGGTGCATCCCTGTCATCATTGCTGATGACATCGTGCTCCCGTTTGCTGACGCCATTCCATGGGAAGAGATTGGTGTTTTCGTGGACGAGAAAGATGTCCCCAAGCTCGACACTATCCTAACCTCTATTCCGATTGAGGAAATTTTACGAAAACAGAGACTCTTGGCTAATCCTTCCATGAAACAGGCGATGCTCTTCCCGCAGCCCGCACAGTCGAGGGATGCCTTTCACCAGATCTTGAATGGGCTGGCCCGGAAGCTTCCGCATGGCCCGGATGTTTACTTGAGGCCCGGAGAGAAGGTTTTGAACTGGACTGCGGGCCCTGTAGGGGATCTTAAGCCTTGGTGAGTGAGTGAGTGAGAAATTGTTGAGTACATTTGTATTTTATTTTTATTTTTTTGTTCTAATGAAAATGCAAGTTGGGAAGACTGTAAAGGTGTAGTAATTTTGGAGAGACTTGAGTTTCTTGTTCATCTTATTTTTGTAGCAGGAATAACCTGATTACTTGGTGTTTGATGGGGATTTCCAATGTGATTCAAAATATTCTGGAATTCTTGAAAATTGTGTCATAAGTCATAACGTGTGTTCCATCTTAATATAGCAGTAATTACATGTGTTCATCATCACATTTGGTGTAAAGATGGAACAACTAATTTCAACTGCAAATGACAGAAGAGTAACTCAAACAAATTTCAACCACAAAACAAATAACAATCACAATTCATGCTCCATTAGCTGCTACCGTGGTAGTATTTTTTCCACCTATAAGTATACATATTTATTTAGTCTACAAGATATTTATTGTTAATGTTAGTCATCTTAAACTAAAGGCCCAAAATGAACATGTATATGTACAATACAAACAAACATGTTTAACATATTTTATATTTGTTAAAATATATATATATAAAAAACCATATTCGGTGCGGTTCGGTTCGATTTTGCTAAACAAACATGTTTAACATATTTCATATTTGTTAAAATATATATATAAAAAAAACTATATTCGGTGCGGTTCGGTTCGATTTTGCTCACCCCTAATACTGGGAGATGCGACCCGCGGAGAAGGCAACCCTCACTTGGGCTCCTCCGGGAGAAGTATTACCCGACCCACTACAGAGAGAGGATGGAGAGGAAGTTCTTAGCACTGGAGCAGGGTGCTAGGACTGTCGACGAGTATGAGAGAGACTTCACTCGTCTCGACTTCTTTGTGTCTTACCTGATTGGCACAGAGGAGACGAGGACGAGGCGTTTCCGAGGAGGACTTTGTGGCGAGATTCGCCACCACCTTACTGCCCACGGCACACTGCCATATACTGAGACCGTCTCTCGGGCTCAGCAGATTGATGAGAGCCTCCAACTGGAGACCATCCGTACTCACGCCGTCGCCCGACAGCCCGCTCCGCCACCAACTCAGCAGTCTACACTGCCGCTACCACAGCAGCCCCAGCGACCGAACAAGAGGGGGAGAGGCCGCCCAGACAGGAGGGTCCGACAGAGGGGCCAAGCCCCAGCTCAGGCTGTACAGTCAGTACAGCAGGTTGTACCATCCTGTGCTACTTGTAGCCACCATCATCTCGGCCAGTGCCTAGCATCTACTTCAACTGTCGGAGGCCCGAACACGGGCGTGAGGATGTTTGGATTGTGCTTAGCCTCAGCATGGTCAGCGCAAGCGGGCCCTGAACCAGCCACGTGGAGCATCTGCACACGTCTACGCTCTCGACCAGGCACAAGCAACCGAGCAGCCATGTACCATGTCCGGGATGATCTCTTTACACGATGTACCTATTTTCGATTTGTTCGACACCGGGGCGATACATTCGTTCGTCTCGGCCAAGTGATTAGAGGCTATAGGGGTCCAGGGAGTTAATGTTGTCGACCCACTCAAGATCAGCCTAGCTTCGAGGAAGAAGATAGTCACGAGCTCCCTGGCTAAGAACCTTAGCATGAGTATTGGCGGCAGAACCCTAGAGGTAGATGCGTTCGTGATCGAGATGAGGGATTTCGACCTCATTCTCGGCATGGACTGGTTGGAAAGATACCGTTTAGACATCCGATGTCGAGACAGAGAGGTGACACTACACTTAGCTGTGGGAGACCATATCACGTTCTTCGGGACAAAGACGCAGAACCTACCGCGTATTATTTCCATGGCGAAGGCGACGAAGAGCCTAGAGAGAGGAGATTGCCAGGGTTACCTGGTGAGCATCGTTGGGGAAACTTTAGAGGAGCGGCTACTCGAAGACATACCCATCGTTCGTGAGTTTGTCGACATCTCTCCGGAGCAGCTACCGGGAGGACCACCTAGCCGTCACGTGGAGTTCACGATCGACCTGGTTCCAGGAGCTGGGCCAGTGTCGAAAGTGCCGTATCGCATGGCGCTGAAGGAGTTTCAGGAGTTGAAGTCTCAAATTCAGAAGTTGTTGAGTCTCGGCTTCATTCGGACGAGTGTCTCACCTTGGGTAGCACCTGCCCACTTTGTGAAGAAGAAAGATGGGACGTTGCGCATGTGCATCGACTATCGGGACTTGAACCGATTTACGGTGAAGAACAAGTATCCACTCCCCAAGATAGTGGACTAATTTGACCAGCTGAGGGGCGCCCCTGTATTTTCCCGGATAGATTTGCGATTGGGTTACCACCAGCTGAAGATTAAGGAGTCTGATGTGGCTAAGACCACATTTCTCATTCGATACGGTCACTATGAGTTCATCGTGATGCCGTTCGACTTAATCAATGCGCCGACGGTATTCATGAATCTCATGAACCGCGTCTTCCACCCATACTTGGACCAGTTTTTCATCGTCTTCATAGATGACATTTGGTCTACTCGAGGAGCACCGCCCAGCACGAGAGGCATTTGAGGATCGTGTTGGAGACTCTTAGGCGGGAGAGACTATACGCCAAGTTCTCGAAGTGCGAGTTTTGGCTCGATCGAGTGGCGTTCATCGGTCATATCGTCACGGCCGAGGGCATAGAGATCGACCCCGGGAAGATTGAAGCAGTGAAGACTGGTCGACCCAGATCCAGAGTTTTCTCGGTTTGGCAGGCTACTTCGGCGATTCATAGAGGGGTTATCGAAGATAGCCCTACCCTTGTCACGTTTGACGAGGAAGACGGCACGGTTCGAGTGGAGTGATCGCTGTGAGAGGAGCTTCTAGGAGCTCAAGGAGAGGTTGACCACGGCACCGATGTTGATAATACCGGACCCTACTCGAGGTTTCACTATCTATAGTGATGCCTCGAACCAGGGTTTGGGCTTCGTGTTGATGCAGGAGGGCAAGGTTGTCGCATACGCTTCGCGACAGCTGAAGCCCCATGAGGAGAATTACCCAACTCACGACTTAGAGTTAGCAGCCGTTGTTCATACCTTGAAGATTTGGAGGCATTACCTTTACGGTGGTCGATGTGAGATCTACACCGATCACAAGAGTCTGTAGTATATCTTTGTTGTAGCAAAATATATTTTTTTTACCGAGTACCGAATCAAAAGATTCGTTCCCCGGGTCGATCTCTCGAGGAAGACGGTTCGGAATTTAGCGTTGGTCTTGATCACACACAAAAAGAAAATAAGTCCTAAACACTCTAATCACGATTGATTTGGGGAATTAACTGAAACAAGCTAGAACTAGACAAGCAATTTAAGGAAATGATAAATAAATTTCTAGAGAAAAAGAAGAAGTTCTAGGGGTCAGGAAATCTCATCAAGTCTTAAACTATGTTGAACGCTTATTTGTTCGGTTACGAGATTTAACAAGCCTACACGTCTAGAGGGCTATGCTCAATAACTCTTCGTAACAAGAGCACAAACATAAACGATAAACTCATTCAAACAAGCAACACACAGACAATACTTTTACGAACATGTCTACTCTATACGAGCCTAAATCGACCGACGTCTCCCCTCTCGGTTCAAAACGTTGATTAACTAGGTTAGAATGGTGATCAATCAACTAACCCTATAATTCACACAACTCGAATAGATTGAACAAAACACATTCCTCATAATTCAAAACAAGAATCAAAAACCCTAACCCTAGGTGAATGGATTCCCTCATGCTTAAATTTAATTTCATGTTAACTGGAATTAAGAACATAAAACGAATCAATAATAATAAAATAGAATTGAAAAACTTACAATCGGATTAAGAGTTGCAAGATTTCAATCCAAATATCTTTGTGTCCAACAATCCAAGCATGAGAGAAAAAAAAGAAAAGCGGAGAAATTTATCCTAACAATATTGAGTTTTTGGAGAGCAAAATTGAAAGGAACGATATTGGGGATTGTTTTGATATATAGAGCTCGAAAAACGGAGCTAAAACGAGTAAAAACGGAGAAAAATAAAAACAGGGTCGAACAGGTCGCGACTCGCGAGTCTAACGGGTCGTGGGGTCGCGCAGCTGGTTGGAGGCTCTGTTAAAGTCGCGACTCGCGACTTTGCTCTCGCGAGTCGCGACGTAGGCTCGCGAGTCGCGACTTTTCTCTCGCGAGTCGCGACTTTAGACTGCATTGCGCCATTGCGCCATTTTACGTTTCGGGCTCATTTGGGCTCGTCCGAACTCGGAATTGAGTTCCGTTTTTTGCTACGCATCGCTAACAAACCCATATATCCAATTATGCTCTCGAAACCAACTTTTCCTGAAGATAAAATTCGCCCGAAGCTCCCGACCTACACAAAAACATAAAAGAAAACCAGAAAAACAAACGGAAAACACCTAAAGACTCAAAATGATGGAAAACACATAATAGAACACGAAACGGACTAAAAACTAAAGAAACGACCTAAAATGGGGGGAAAAAAAAAAGACAAAACCATAGCGAAAAATGCAACAAAAATGGGACAAACAATCTTCAGGCAGAAGGAGCTCAACATGCGCTAGAGGCGATGGTTGGAGCTGGTGAAAGATTACGACTGCACCATTCAGTACCATTCGAGGAAGGCGAACGTGGTAGCCGACGCTCTTAGCCGAAAGGGAAATGACGAGTTGACTTGTATGATCACCCAGCAGAGTTAACTCATTTGGGAGTTCGCTCAGATGCAGTTAGAGGTTGTCGAGTCACTCCCCAAGTTGCAGGTTGTGGGGAGAATTCGAGCGATGAGGATGTGGCCCATGCTTCGAGGCAGAATCCAGCGGGATCAAGCCTTCGACGAGTTCATTCGCTCGATGGGGGCAAAGATTCATGCTGGAGGAATAGAGGGCTTTTACCGAGGCACATATGGTGCTTTGGAGTACAAGGGCAGGATTGTAGTGCCGAACGTCAAGGCCTTGAGGAAGGAGATCTTTACTGAGGCTTATAGTGCGCCATATTTGGCTCACTCCGGAGGCACCAAGATGTATCACGTGACTTGAAAAAGTTGTTTGGTGGATGGGTATTAAGAGAGACATAGCCGAGTTTGTGGAGAAGTGTTTGGTTTGCCAACAGGGGAAGGCCGAGCATAAGTTTCCACCCAGTTAACCCAGTCACTCGAGATTCTGATGTGGAAGTAGGAGCACGTCACCATGATTTCATCACGGGACTACCCAAGTCAAAGGAGCAGCACGATGCGATTTGGGTAGTTGTAGACCGACTGACGAAGTCGGCCCGTTTCTTGCCC